AATCCAAATTTATACGATGGAACAAAGAGAACATCTTCAACAAATGGAGCTGGCATAACTGGTTGCAGACATGTAGAAGACCGCAGTTAGACCCATGCCTATGGCCTTGCACAAAACTTAAGTCAAAATGGATCAAAGATCTCAACATAAATCCAGCTACACTGAACCTATTAGAAGACAAAGTGGGAAATACCCTTGAATTAATTGGTACAGGAGACAGCTTCTTGAACATTACACCAGTAGCACAGACACTGAGGTCAACAATTGATAAATGGGACCTCCTGAAACTGAGAAGCTCCTGTAAGGCAAAGGAGACAGTCAGCAAGACAAAACAGCAGCCCACAGACTGGGAAAAGATATTCACCAGCCCCACATTTGACATAGGGATGATCTCCAAAATATACAAAGAACTCAAAAAGCTAGTCTCCAAAACACCAAACAATCCAATTAAAAACTGGGGTACAGAACTAAATAGAGAATTCTCAATAGAGGAATCTAAAATGGCTGACAGGCACATAAGAAAGTGTTCAACATCCTTAGTCATCAGGGAAATGCAAATCAAAACAACTCTGAGATACCATCTAACTCCTATCAGAATGGCCAAAATCAAAAACACCAATGACAGTTCATGTTGGAGAGGATGTGGAGAAAGGGGAACACTCCTCCACTGCTGGTGGGAGCCCCAACTTGTACAGCCACTTTGAAAATCAGAATGGCGGCTCCTCAAGAAAATGGGAATTCGTGCACCACAAAATCCAGCAATTCCACTCCTAGGCACATACCCAAAAGACGAACATTCATACAACAAGGACATCTGTTCACTGATGTTCATAGCAGCACTATTTGTAATAGCCAGAAACTGGAAGCAGCCTAGATGCCCCTCTACCGAAGAATGGATAGAGAAAATGTGGCAAACACGGTATGCACTCACTCAGATGTGGATTTTAGACATAGAGTAAGGATTACAAGCCTACAATCCACACTGCCAAAGAAGCTAATAAACAAGGAGGACCCTAAGAGAAACATACATGGTTCCCTGGATAAAGGGAGAGGGTCCAGATCTGCTGAGCAAATTGGGAGCACAGGAAGAGGGGGGAGTGAGCTAGGAAAATGAGAAGGGGAGAAGAAGAGGGATGCAGAGGACATGAGGGAACAGAAAGTTTGAGTCAGGGGAAGAATAGATGATAACAAGAATGGAGATATCATAATACAGGAAAACATTTTTGGTTTACAGAAAAATCAGGCACTAGGGAAATGTCTGGAGATATACAAAGATGACACCAGCTAACAATCTAAGCAACGAAGGAGAGGCTACCTTAAATGCCCTCCTCTGGTTAGGTGACAGATAACTGACTTATATGCCATCCTATAGCCTTCATCCAGCATCTGGTGGAAGTAGAAGCAGATACCCACAACTTGTCACCGAACTGAACTGGAATCCAGATGCAGAGAAGGATGATTGAAGAGCAAAGGGGTCCAGACCAGGCTGGTGAAACCCACACAAACAGTTGACCTGAACATCCAGGAACTCTTGCTCCCAGACTGATAGCTGTAATACCAGCATGGGACTGAGCCAGACCCCAGGAACATGGGTTTCTGTGAGGGAACCTAAGAAATCTACAGGACCTCCTGTAGAAGTTCAGTACTTTTCCCTAGCATAGGTGTGGACTGTGGAAGCCCATTCCATATAGAGGAATACTCCTTGAGCCAAGACACAGAAGGGTGGGCATAGGCCCTGTCCCAAAGTATACAATAGACACTGATGACACCCTATGGAAGGCCTCACCATCCAGGGGGAGCAGAAAGGATATGTGATAGATAGGGTTTTAGTTGGGCGGGACGGTAGGGGAGGACGGGTTGGAGAAGGGAACTGGGATTGTCATGTAAAACAATCCTGTTTCTAATTCAAATAAAAAAAAAGTTGGAAAAAAACATAAAAAAACCACACACACACAAAAACAAAAACAGAGCCACCTTACCAACTTTGTACATTAATCCAACTCTCCATACAAGATCAAAGTCTGCATTCAGAGTAATTAACCTAGAATTCCCATCACTTTTGATAAAGTCCTTAGGTGCTGGGAAGCACTAATACCTCCAAGAATGAACAGAATGGGGTGGGAAGTAGGCAAGATGCTAGATCGTCCACCAATTGCATCATTTAAAGAAGTTCTGCCTTCATTTATTTTAGATTTTAGATTTTAGATTTTTAGTAAGAATTTGTTTTACTTTTCATCAGTTATTTTTTGGCTGTATATACTTAAGGTATATTGCATAATGTTATATAGTTAGACAAACACATGCATAGTCAAAATGATTACTATAAACAAGAAAATTAATATTTGAATGACATCAAAGTTAGGGTGATGTGTGTGTGTGTCTGTCTGTCTGTCTGTCTGTCTTACATGCACATAAAATCTACTCTTAGCTAGGCATTCCTCAAAAACCAATTATCCATGATAACTACTTTCATTTCTTTGTTACTATGCTTTCAGGTTTTCTTTTGCTTAGTTCCCCATGGAAGTGAGATCATGCAGTAGTTTTCTTTCTTCATATGGTTTATTTCACTTGAGCATAAATTTGTCCAAGGCATTAAGTTCTGGCAAATGGAATCAGTTCCTTTTTGTGGCTAACTAGTACCCTATCATTCTTCTTTATCTGTTCATCCATCAATGGCCATTGGGTTGTTTCATATCTTTGGCTGCATGAA